ATGATAATCTTTCATGGGAGCTGATAAGTTTACCAGATGAAATAGTATAAAGTGAGAAGAGAGGAGAGCTTAGGACAGAACCCTGTGGGATACCCATGGTTAGTGGGGTGTGTGTGACCTGGATCCAGCAAAGAAGATTAAGAAAGAGCAGATCATATAAATAGGATTAGAACCAGCAGGGAGTGGTGTCCCGAAAACCGAGAGAGAAGAGATTATCAAGAAGAAGGTGATCAACAGTGTCAAAGGCAGGAAGAATGAGCATTAAGGAGAGGTCATTGGATTTGGCAGTTAGGAGAGTTTTAATACCTTTGGAGAGAGCAATTTTAAATGATGATGTCAGAAACCAGATTGTAGGGAGTTAAGAAGAGAGTAAGTGGAGCCACCTGTTGTATATGGCCTTCTCAGGGAGTTTAGGTACAAAGGGCAAAGAGATGTAGGATGATAGCACGGATAAAAGGATCAAATGAGGATTTTTTGTTTGTTTTTTTAGGATGGGGAAGACATGGGCATATTTATAGGCAGTAGGGAAGGAGCCAGTAGACAGCAAGATATTGAAAACAAGTGAGAGCAAAGAATATAGAACTTTAACAAAGTCTATTCCTTTTATTTGGCAATCTAATAGAATTTTCAGTTACTCTTTTGGTTATTTGTAGTTTTATTGGGCAGCTAGGTGGCACAGTGGATAGAGCACCAGGCCTAGAGTCAGGAAGACCTAAGTTCAAATTCAGCCTCAGACACTTAGTCTAGCTAGTTGACCCTGGGCAAATCACTTAATCCTATTTGTCTCTAATTTCTTCACCTCTAAAATGAGCTGGAGAAGGAAATGGCAAACTACTCTAGTATCTTTGCTAAGAAAACCCCAAATGAAGTCAAAAAGAGTTGCACACCACTGAAAAAAGACTGAACAACAATAACCTGTTCTTATAATTTTCTGGAGGCATCTAGGTGGCACAGTGGATAGAGTTCCACGCCTGGAGTCAGGAAGATCATTTTCCTGAGTTCAAATCTGGGCATAGACACTTATTATCTGTTTTACCCTGGGAAGTCACTTAACTGCTCTTTACCTCAGTTTCCTCATCTGTAAAATGAGCTGGAGAAGGAAATAGCAAACCATTCCATTATCTTAGCTAAGAAAACTCCAAATGGGATCACGAAGAGTTGGACACAACTGAACAACAAAAATTTTATCAGAAAATTACAGATAATACCTAAGGAAAAAAGAGGCGAATACAAACTCACTTTCTAATGGCTCCATGATAAAACAGTAATGTTTTCTCAGATTAGTCCAGATTCATCAGAAGAGAATGAATAAGTGAATGAAAAAAGGCATTATTAAGTGCTTATCATGTACAAAGCATTGTACTTAGTCTTGGGGATACAAATAGAAAAGCAAGACAATACTTGCTCTTAAAGAGTTCCCACGTTAATTGAAAGTATGTGTAGGAGGTTTTTGCTTCAGTCATATGGAAAGAAAGGCCTCAGCATCCTCAGGGTGCATAGCAAATGTTAATTTATCTTTAGTGTCATTTTGGTCGACAAAACCATATCTTTTGCTGGCATGGAACCATTTGACAATTCTGAGGACTTTGGTTGTTAGAATTTTATTTTCTAGATCGTTAGTATTTATGACTTCTGGGGAGGTTGTAGCCAGGTTATCGCTCTACATGCATTGTTCCCTTCCATGATGGCCTACCAAAAAGTAGTCCTGTGAGTGTTGGTAGTTCTATTGTTCCCACAGTTCTTGGGCTTACCTACCCATTGTTTGAAGTTGATCAATGGATTGTGTTGGTGGTTGTGGGGATGTTTAATTACTTTTTCACAAGGGTTACCCTCTTTAAAGATGGCTTGAGGATTCAGGTCTAAAGCTGGGTCAGTGAGGTGGGGAGGGCCTTGATATTCCCAGGGCTATTGGTCACAGGATCTTGGGCTTTCTTTGTTTGGGTCTAAGGAGAAGAAAGTAAGATATTGAAATTTCAAAAGAATCATGTTGGATAATGAAAGAATGAAATAATGATTTCATTTGTATTTTGACGTGTTCTAAGTTCATAATCTCATTCCAAGTAGAAGTGGAGGCCAAATTGTAGGGGGTGTTTGTTAGTTTGTTTCAGATGTACACAGCTTGCTACTAAAGAAGAGTGCTAGATATCTACCCACATCATACAGTTTTTGTTATAGCACAGGTTCCTGATAGTTACATGAGGTCAGTATAGTTTTCTTTCTTTTCGTCCATTCTGATCTTCTCTGTATTCCACTAAGGAAATTGTTTTACTGAAGAAAATTATGAAAAAATTTGACCAAGTATGTCAGGAGTTGTTTATGATTTTGGGAACAAGGCTATTTCTAGTTACATATAAGCTCTACTAGCTTTGTTTGGAATTAAAAACAAAGCACAATCCTGCTACCATTTCACCTCTTTCATGAAATTGGCACCAGCAATTTACATTTATAGTTAACACCTTTCCAGTCTTCTTATACCTTGTACTTCAATCACCACATATTGTTTGATGCAGAGACACTGGCATTCTTTCTGTTCCTCGCACAACAAACTTCATTTCTTGACTCCAAACATTCTATCTCAGTGTCCCTAAAGTTGGCAATGCTTTCCTTTCTCATTTCTCCTTCCTTGTTTCCCTGCCTTCCTTTAACTGCCTGCTAAAATTCAACCTTCTGCAGGAAGCCTTTTCCAGTCTCTCTTAATTGTAGTCCCTTTCCTGTGTTAATTATTTCCTATTTATGCTGTGTATATCTTTTTGTATGTAGTTGTTCGCATATTGTCTCCCACATTGGATTGTGAGCTTCTCAAGGGCAAAGACTGTCATTTGCCTTTTTTTGTATCTCCCATCACTTGGCACAGTTTCTGGTAAAATATTTATTAATGTTTGTTGACTGAATGACACTTATGTAACCTGCAATTTGCTTGTAACTTAAGTTTTGTTATTATTATTACTATATTAAATACCTAACATGTCTACAAATTGTTTGAAAATATTCTAAAATATATAGCTAGAAATATAAAATTAAAGTCTTAAAATTAAATGGGTCTCTTAGTTAATTCTCCATATTTATTTGCTTATTAATATGTACCTTCTAATAGTCCTCAATGGTCTCAGCTTTCAGAGCAGGATTTTGAAGTGCTTATTCATCATATTTTGAATATTCACAAATTTGCCTTTTAAGTTATTGTTAATATTTTGCATATTGAGTTTCTGTATAAAGCAGTATCATTAAAATATAATAGATTTTGAAGTTAGGTGGTTGGTATATACCTTCTGTATTTAAAATTGGTATAATACGAGCCTCTTTATTTGTTTCTATAGCCATTTCTCAACAGTGTGTGTATGTGTGTGTGTGCGTGCGCGCAGGCACGTGAAATCAGACAACTAGATTTATATTTTACAAAATAGTATACAATTTATTTCTAAAGGAAAAAGATGCCTCCATTTCTTATAGATAGCTAGAGGAGTACAAAACGTAATAACAGGTATATGAAACCTTCCCTCAATTTGGTCTTTAAATATTCCCCAGAGAAATATAGAACTACCAGTTGGAATGTATCATTGCCATGAGTCATGAATTTTCCAGGAAAACTGACTTTCATTCGTATACTTGCTGGAAAGTACTTTTTTGGAGTGTGAGGGGAGCCCATTTAGTCAGACATAAAACATTAGTGCCCATCAAAACGGTAAGAAATATGCTTATTTTTATAGTTGATGTTAAAACCTTCATTAAAAAATACTCAAAACTGATGACCAGAGAAAAGAGTTTTGTGAGTCTTTGCACATATATTATTCTTTCTAGGTAAGAAATCTTATTTTTTAAGTTCTCAAAATTGTCAGAACTCTGATAGTGTTTGTATTAATATCCTGTGGGGTTACCCTTTCTATTCCCTTTTCTGCTTCTTCCTCTTTGAGTTCAAGTTAAATATTTGCAGCTAATACAACTACTTCTTTTCCTTGCGCTAGGAAATGTGTGAGTTAGAGAAAAGGCCAGATTAGAGGTGATGAAGTTAAAAGCAGAAAGGATGAAAATTTACATAAATTTGCTAGATTTTTCTAAGTGATATCAAGGCAGTGTGGTTTCATATTTTGTTTATATATACTGTGAGACTAATATTTACTTAATAAATTTAATACTTAATATTTACTTAAAATAAATATTGCTAAGTGTGAATGATAAAGATATTACACTCAATTTATACCATTGTTATCCTCTATTAATATGCATAACTATGGTTAATGCATTTAGTAAGCAAACATGAAAAATGAATGATTTAACGTCTGTTTATTCTTTTTTTTAATTTGATACCAAGGTATTAATACCTGTACAGCTAATGCATTGTAGTGTAAGAGTAGTGGTTCATACTTTATTTTTCAGCTATTCTACAAGTTGTCAGTAAATACTTTTTAAAGGAATATATATATTCATTTTAGCCTGTGATCTATTGGCATCTCTCCCCATGAAGTCTATGTCTAATTTCCTCAAGAAAGCAGAAAAATCAGAAAGCCCCACCAGAGTACTAGTACTTGATAAGCAGATGCTATGCAAAAAAATTGTCAGAGCCACTTGGCAATTCCATGCTTGTGATGGTAGAATCCACTGTACTTTGATAAAGCAATTAATAAAATAGGAAACTTCAAAACCTAATATTACAAATAATCATATAATATGTACTCAGATTTTTCCTTATTTCATCAGTTTCAAAACAAACAAGTTTAGCACTTTTATTGCCATGTTAGTTTGTCTTGTTTAGGGATAGAATAATAGATTCAAAACAATTTTTCTTTTTTACCTTTGACAGAGTCTCTTAAGTGGTGTGAAAAGAGCTATCATAATATTAAAACTAATATTTACATTCTTGAGTTTTAATGTGTCATTTTAATTGGTGGTGGTAGTAGTTTAATTATTCAGTTTAAATGAAAATATAAATGTTTAATCTTATTAGCATTTTTCTTTTTCCTTTTCAAATATTGTCACTGATGGCATTTTATATTTTCATTTAGCTTGTAACACTCCAAGAGGCAAAACTTCTGCTGAATGAGGATGATTACCTTATTAAGGCTGTATATGACTACTGGGTGAGAAAACGCAAAAACTGCAGGGGGCCATCCCTCATTCCTCAGATAAAACAAGAAAAAAGAGATGGCTCCACCAACAATGACCCCTATGTTGCTTTTCGGAGAAGGACAGAGAAAATGCAGACTCGAAAGGTAATTTGTAATTTGAATTTAAGTGCGTTTAGCATAATGGTGTTTAGGACAAATTTGGTTTTTCTGTTGCTAATAACTTAAATGGTTTTGAATGATTTGAACATAATTTAGAGATTGATAGAATTTAATACTCTTAAAGAAAAACTGTTTGACAACTTTATTTGAAATTCTGTTTTTCAGTAGTTCTTGAGTAACGGTGTCTCATTTTCAGCTTGTACTTTACATTGAACAATTGTGGAGGTCTTGTGTGAACTTTACTCCCTGTTACTCCCTGTCTAGACTACACAAATAAATATAAATTCTCCATCTCAGTTGGTTACAGGTGAAGAATATTTTCAGTTTCAAAAAGAGGAACGGGTTTAGAGCTATGAATTGATTTGGAAAGACTTTTTTCACCTTTCTTTTGGTTTGGAGGGTTAGGCGGAATGATTGACTTCAAAGATTTAGTAAAAAATGCCACGAGCCACAATTTTCATATTCTTATTAGCATTAATTACATAAACCCATCCTCTACCATGATCCATAGTTGGAAAAATTATAAATGAAATGTCAGAGTTAAAGACAGTTCAGTGATACTGATATAGTGCTGAGCTGTCAGAAAGATCTGAGTTCAGATCCAGCTTCAGATACTCACTAGCTATGTAAGCCTGCGTAAGCCGCTTAACCTCTGTCTGATTCAGTTTCCTTAACCTTAAAATGAGGATAATAACACCTTCCTCCCAGGGGTATTGTGAGGATTAAGTATGTGAGGAGATAATATTTATAAAGTACTTGGCACATAGTAAGTGCTATATAAATGTTAATATATAATATATAATATAATTTATTTAACCCACCTCATATCTCTTTCCTCTGTGAGCCATTCCCAGACAGAGACAACTCATAGTAATTACCCCTTCATATTAATGTTAGCATACGTTTGTTACTGAGTGTAAACTGCCCTGTTATTTTTTTTTTCTTAAATATCCTGTCTCATCAACTAAATTGTCAGCTCTTCCAGGACAAGATCCATCTTTTATTCCTATTTTAATTCATGTTATCTAATAAAGTACAGTGCCATGAACATACTGTAAGCACTGCATGTTTGTTTTGATGATGATAATAGTGTTTCTTTTCTTTTCTTTTTTTTTTTGAATGGTTATTAATACCTGTTTGAGTAATTCCTGAAAGTTAGTTCTAGGTTTTGCTTAGAAACACAGAGGTCTAAAGGGAGAAAGGAAAAGTCTTTTGGGGTTTAAAAAAAAGAAAAAAAGCTGATATATTTGTTTGGAATTTTTGAAATTTTGTGTTCAAAAATTTGATTTAAATGTTATTTTAAGAATTTGCTTGATATGCTTTGTTAAGTTGTTTTTTCAGAAGATACAGCAAGTATTGTATTTTATTTATTAACAGCTGGGATGCTAAGCCTTTACATATAGATTGATAGATTTTTCTTGAAACTCTTTATGCTTGTATAGAAAAGCACAATCATTGTACCAAACAAGCAGGGAAATACACATATTTGCCATGCCTAAAAATATATGTTTCATTCTTCATCTTGGGTTCATTAATCTTCCATCCTAGTTCTTTTCCTACCAGTCTGATCACTCTTTCTCAGTTTTCATTTGCTGGATCTTTGTTCAGGTCATACCAGTTAAAAGCGAGTATTCTTCTTTTCTCACTTTATGCTATTTCACTTATTGATTTTATTAGCTTCCATAGATTCAGTTATCATCTCTATGCTGATGATTCACAAACCTATCTATATAACCCTAACCTCTGTCCTAACCTCTAGACTTCTATCTCCAAAAGCCTATTAGGCACCTCAGATTGGTTTGTCCTGTAGACATCTTAAACTCAACGTGTCCAAAACTGAACTCATCTTTTCCCGTCAAACCCTTCCTCTTCCAGACTTCCCTGTTATTGTTGAGGGCACTACCCAGTCACCCAGGTTCCTAACCTACATGTAATCCTTGACTCTTTAATCTCTCTCACTCTCTATTTCCAGTCTGTTGCCTGTGCCTGTCAGTTTTACCATCATAACATCTCTCATATGTGTCCCTTCTCTCTGATGCTGCCACCACCCTGGTATAAGGCCCTCATCACCTCACATGGGCTATTGCAACAGTCTGCTGGTTGGTCTCCCTGCAACAAGTTTCTCCTTACTCCTATCCATTCTCTACTCAGTTATCAGATTAATCTTTCTAAAGCACAGTTCTTATCATTTCATTTTTCCTCCCACCCACTACCCGTTTAGTAAACTTTCAGGGGCTTCTTGCTACCTTCAGGATAAAATAAAAAACCCTCTGTTTGGCGTTCAAAGCCTACTACCTGGCCCTCTCCTACCTTTCCAGTCTTAGTGAATTTTATTTCCCTCAACATCCTCTTCAATCCAGGGACATTTGTCCCTTCCTGTTTCTCTAAGACACTTCCTTTCCAGATCTCAGGCATTTTCATTGTCTTCCATACTTGGAATACTCAACCTTCATCTCTACTTCCTTGCTTCCTTGGCTTCCTTCAAGTCTCAGATAAAATCCCACCTTTATAAGAATCTTTTCTGTTCCTCCTCAATTTTAATGCCTTCCTTCTCAGAGCACCCCAATTTATTCTATTATATATCTTGTTTGTACTTACTTGTTTTAATGTTATTTCCTCCATTATCCTGTGAGGCCATTGAAAGCAGGGAATGTCATTTGCTTTTCTTTGTAAACCTAATACTTAGGTCAGACACATAGTATGGTGCTTGATAAGTGCTTCTTGCGTGACTGATATCTGGCTGGAAATGGGTTACAGTGCTTCATGATTGATCCTGTGGAGTCATAACTAGTCATTGCATTGATCAGAGTTCTTAATTTTCAAAGTTATTTTTCATTACAGTGTTGTTACTGTATAAATTGTTTTCCTGGATTGCTCACTGCATCAGTTCATAGAAGTCTTCCCAGGTTTATCTTCAACCATCTCTTTTTTTTATGTATAATACTATTCTGTTACATTCATATATCATACTTTCTCCAACCATTACCTAATTGACAGGCACTTCCTTTTTTTTCTTGGTCTTTGATATAACAAAAAGAGCAACTATGTTTTCATATATATGGGTTTTTGTCCATAAAGAATCTATGTTTGGGGGGTATAGACCTAGTATTGGTCTCAATAAGTCTTAAGGCTATGCATAGTTTAATGAGTTTTGAAACATGATTCCAAATTGCTTTCTAAAACGCCTGGGCCAATTCACAATTCCACCAACAATCCAGTACTATGTTTATTTTTTCATATCCTCTTGAACAAATTTTCTTGTTTTCTTATCTTTGCTGATCTGATAAATGTGCAGTGGAACCTCAGAGTACTAATATAGAGTTTTATACAAAGTAGATAAATGGATGAGCAAAATTTTTAAATTTAGAATGATTATTTTTTCATTTGCAAATAGTGCTAATAGCTGCATTACTTTAATTATAGAGTGCCCCTGAATAAAGAGCATATTTCTAAAACAAAACTTCTTTGAAAGGAAAATAATATATAGATGTATAACAAAAAAATTATGCTGTTACTATATTAAAAATAATTATTGTGAATATTTTTATTTTAAACCTTTCAATTCATAGAAAGATACTTTATTATCACTTTCTTCATCAGCTTAGGCATTACTATTTTCTTTCCATTATCCCTTTAGTATGTCATCTTTAGACTTATTCTATTTGAAACGCTTCATGGGTAAGACTAGGGAAGTTTAAAAGACATTCACAATATTGGAAAAATTACCAAAGTGTGCTATAGTTTTACTCCTAACTCTTGGGGTTTTGTCTAAAGTGACAAGTTTTTTTTGGTTTTTTTTGTTGTTATTGTTTTGTTTTTTGGGGGGGTTTTTTGGCAGTTGGGGTTAAGGGACTTGCCCAGGGTCGCACAGCTAGTTAAGTGTCAAGTGTTTGGTCTGAGGCCGGATTTGAACTCAGGTCCTCCTGACTTCAGGGCCGGTGCTCTATCCACTGCGCCACCTAGCTACCCCGACAAGTTTTTTTTCCAAGGGTATTAAAAGTGTGATTATATGTTGAATTTAGATTTTTTTTTTTTTGGTTGTTGAAGCCAAATTTAGGAACAGTGAATGGCCTATATTTGGGCCAATGTGGGTGCCAATGCCTATTTGACTTCTACCTGTAACTATTTTTAGCAGTAATTTTGAGTTCCTACAACTACTTGAAAGTGTATTGTTTCTTATAAAAGAATCTGAAATTCAAAATTTTTACTATCACCATATCATTGTCAGTCATTCACCTATTTGCTTTAGTTCAGATTCATAGCACATTAAGATATTAATAATTAAACATTTAATTTTTTGCTTCCCTTTGTTAGTATCATTTGGGTAAAGCGTATTCACTATTTACATTTTTATTTACCTTTCTTTTGTCCCAAATTACAGTGAAAAGAAATGTTCCATTTCTGGTAATTTTTAGATGTTTGGACTTTACATACTTTATTAAAATTAAGTGACATTTTTTGATTTATTGACTTTATTCACAGAAGTCTTTCAGTCAGTCTTCAATAGTAGTAATTATAGTAGTAATAGTTTGGACTCATTGTGGTTATTGTCTCTGTGTTAAGATTGAAAAATAGCATTTTGTTGTCAATTATAATCTTAAAATTGTCATTTTTCAATAGAATCGAAAAAATGATGAAGCCTCATATGAAAAGATGTTGAAATTAAGACGAGAATTTAGCAGAGCCATAACTATTTTGGAAATGATTAAGAGAAGAGAAAAAACAAAACGGGAATTATTGCACTTAACATTAGAAGTTGTTGAAAAAAGGTAACTCTAATACTATTTTATACCACTGATAGTTAGATGAGCATTTGTGTCATGAGTTTTTAAAAGTCACTGCTTCAGTCCATCAAGAGTTTGTGATTTCATTGGCATATGTATATCCTCTATAGATATAGATCTAAACCATTCTATTAGACTGTGTTTTTAAGTTATGGCTACTATTCTAGTTGTAAGCCTTTTTAAATTTAACTATGCCTTTCAGGCTTGGTGTAAGTCATATCAGATCTTGTCAAAGCCTTCAAGAATGCATGGTTCACTCCATGCCATAATAATAAGAAATTGGAATAGCACTTTTATCACTTTAGTATTTTCTAGCATTTCAACATATTTTTTGCCCTTATGAGTACCATTGAAACTCCTCTATCACTTAATATATCATCCTTAAGAATTATGGTAGCTGTGAAATTAATCACTGTGAGAATGAGCTTTTTTCTAAAATTAGCTAAGCTATCGGGTCCATAGAATATTTGATATTCAGTCAATCAGAGGACCTTTACTCAAATCCCTGATTTGAGCTTTTCCAAAATTAACTAAGCTGCTCTTTAGAAAACTAACATATATAGCTCATTACACCCATACTCTTATACTTCTTATCTTAGTAAAACCTGTCAAAGTTTGTGTTCCACTGGCATAGATTTCATGAACCAAGGTCCCCTCTGTGCTGTGGTGTAGCATTAGAGTAACACTTTAGTAAGTATAAATATTATTAAAAATGATAAAATATTGTATAATGTTAAAAAGGTTCAAATTTGTGGGTCTTTGTTTTTATGCAGCTTAAAATAAACTAAACTTGAAATGTACTTTTTTTAGTGATACTGATCAATATTTTTATAATATGGTCAGTACATGTAAACTAAAAGCTTAACCAGAATTTAAGAAAAATTAAGTCTTACATTAGTTTCATTTTATATTGGATTAAGCAGAAAAGGCTGTTATTTCAGCTTTACTGGATGAAAGGGTTTCTAAGATAGATTAATTTTCTTTTCTGCTTTAGTGTTCTTCTTAATTGATACTTAATAAATGATGATCTTAGTACCTCAGGGGGAACATTCTGAATACTGCTTTCCCATGTAAAGTGTAGAAAGTTTAGAAGTTGGCTGTATATATATTAACATGCCATGACAAATATTTTTTTTTCACTAAACCTTCAATATAAAGTCATTTTCTTTTTCTTTAAAAAAGGGATACAAAGAAAACTTCCTTGATACATTTGGTTGGTTCTGGCCTACTGAGGTTCTGTTGTAATTGTGTTTGTATATAATACACAGCATTGCTTGTTATTATATTTTAAAGATATCATTTGGGAGACTATGGTGGTGAAATCCTTAATGAAGTGAAAATTAATAGACCAGAAAAAGAAATATATGCCACTCCAGCTACTCTTCATAATGGAAATCATCACAAAGTCCAAGAATGTAAAACTAAGGTAAATAACTTTTGAAGAGAATTACATCTGATTAATTTGACCAGAGTCAAGTAAGTGTTAATTGCAGTACTTAAGTCTGTAAGTATAAATTGAAAAATAAATTGAGTTTTTGAATGTATCCTTTTAAGTAATTATAATGTGTTTATAATCACTATCTTTTGTAGTGTCCTTTGTTAATTGTGGCAAATTTTAAAAGATGAACATCAAAATTTAAATTTTTTCTCAGGTAGACTATTTCTTATTATTATCATCACGATTTATGTACTACTTAGGCTGTATGACTTTAGGCAAGTCACTTAACCTCTCTGTACCTCAGTTTTCTCATTGATAAAACAAAGGGATTGGATTAATTGGATTTTAAAGTTCCTTTTCCCACACTAAGCTTCTGTGGTTATATTTGTTCATTGCTTACTTAGGTGTGTGTCACCATTCAAAACACATTAAGATGGGGTTATGGATTCATTTCATTCCATGTTATTTATATTCACTTAGCTCAGTGCCTGGTGCATATTAGGTACTTGATAGATGTTTATTGATTGTTTGAATGACTTTCTTACTTTAGGGAGCTTTTATTAAAAAAAACCCCACAATATTTACTCAAATACATAAAGTACTTCAGCGAGTTACACAGAAAAACTTTACCATATAAATAATATTAGGGTTTCAGGAATTGAATTACTGACCCATTATGTGACCTGAAGAATGGTTGAAGTTAAGATTAGCCCCATTCTTTGGTTCTACCAAAACCCTAGGAATTACAGTTGAAAATAATGTTTTACATATTTAAAATGTTAGTTATCTATTTTAGAAATGCTGTATAGTAAACCCTCATTTGTTGTGGGTGTGTTTCTGAAATGTATGACAAAACAGTAAAGCCAGTTCAAGATAAAGAGCATTTATTAAGCACCTTCTATGTGCCAGGCACTATGGTAAACACAGATTAAAAAAGAAAGGCAAAAGACAGTCCTTGCCATCACATTCTAAGTATAGGGGAAACAATATGCAAACAACTGTCTACAAATCAGCTATGTACAAGATAAATTGGAAATAATCAACAGAAGGAAGGTACTATGATTAAAGATGATAAGAAAAGGTTTATTAGAGAAAAGATTTTAGCTGGGACTTGAAGGAAGCCAGGGAAATCAGGAGGTGGAGGTGAGATAAGGAGAATCATGGCAGGGAACATCCAGTGGATGAAAAAGCCCAGTTGGACAGGGAATGTCTTGAGTAAGAAAAAGCAAGGATTCCAGTGTCAATGGATGGCAGAGCATGTGGAAAGGACAAGGTGTAAGGAGACTGGAAAGGTAGGAGGAGGCCAGGTTATAAAGGTCTTTGAAAGCCAAAGAACAACTACAGCCTCAAGAAGGAATACCCTTCCCTTAGGCAAGGACAAAAAAGAATTTTGCAATGAAGAATACAAAGATCAAGGTGTATGCGGAGGTGGGGGAAAGGTGCTTCTTGTTTTAGTTAACAAATAAAAATGTGTATGATCATAGAACTCTAGTGTTGATAGAGATGCCTGAATCTTAAATCCCTTCCCATCCCTGTTCAATGATTATTCAGCTGCACTTAATAAGAAATCAGTTCGCAAGTCATAAATTGATGGAGGTCTTGACTTTATTGGACCTGAATTTTAGATACTGCCTACTTAAAAAAAAAGGGCAGCTATAAATTTAGATTAAATAGTATCTTAGTACTAGGAGGGTTCTTATAGTTAATTCTAATTCAGTACTCTCATCTAACAGATGACTAAACTGAGGCTTAGAAAATTAAGTGACTTGTCCTAAGCCAGAATTAAAACCCATGTCATTTAACTACTATTCACCATGCCACACTATTTCTCTTTGTATTATGCGTCCATGCGAGCCAAGAGTACTATATTGTTGGTACTACTCTTCATGTTATATTTCTATTATAGGGAATAAAAGCCCTGTTCTTACCTTAGAATATTTTTCTTCAGATTGAAGATTAGAGCAAAATATTTTATGCTAGTAGTTCTGTAACTTTTATTTTTATCAAGGAAGAATGTAAAGGTAAGATGTTGATCTCATACACACACACACACACACACACACACACACACACACACACACACACACACACACGGTTTTTCATCTTTAGTTTCCTACCTGTCTTTTAGAGATACTTTCTTCTTCTAACTCAATTTTCACGTGTACTCAAGACTTGTATAAACTTCAGGAAGATGCTTTAACCCTTTTTAAAAGTAGAGTATGTCACCAAGAGTTCTGTTACAGAAAGTAAATTACAGGAAAAATTTAAATTTTTGGTAATAATTGATATAATTTTGGAGTTTTAAAAATTGTCATTTAAAAGTCTGTTAATCATTAAATTTCTTCTTTTGCTTTTTCTGTCAGTGAAGGAAGACTAGCAGTCTAATTTATTTCACTACTAATAGTAAAATATTTTACTGGTTATCATGGCATCATAAACTAACAGATCTCAAGTAGAGCTCATGTAGTGTATTTCCTTGTCTCCAAGCAGAATGACTTCTACATTATCTATAAGTAGAGAACATTTTGCCAGTGCAACAGATTTGTTTTTTGGACTTGCATTAGTTCATGTAGTGCAATAAATCGGCATGCTTTATAGTCCAACTAATCTGGCTTAATAGTTATCCTAGGATAATGAGAGCGGTCACTTTGCTGGAAGTATGATCTCATTAATATATGGGTATTTATTCCCTCCATTGAGGCACCACTTCTAACAGGCCTGGAACATAGTAGTTACTTCATAAATATTTGTTGCTTATTGATTGATAGCATCTCATACAGTGCTTGTACATCATTTATAATAGTTGTTCACATCTTTCTGTAAATCTGAAAGGGGCACTTAAAAGTTTCATTTCTTGGCTCAAAAACTATCAGCAGTGCTAATTTTTTTTTGTGTTGATTGTTAAAATTTTCATGTTCTTTCTGTAAGAATATAAACCTGAATCAGTGTAGAGTTAGAGTATGTTGAATCTTGCAAGTATGTATGTATGTGTTCCTTCATTTGTAATCAACATTTTTATTGTTTAGGTTGATATAGCTGGTGGTAATGATTTCCCACTCTTTCTTATACACCACATATGTGGTTATGCCTACCACATCAAATTTAATTACTTGAAAGTATATTAACTTCTTTGTCACATTTCAGGCATATATATATATATATATATATGTGTGTGTGTGTATATGTGTGTGTATATATATATATGTGGTTTCTTAGAAATTGTTTTTATCTTATTCTGTTGTTGCTTCTCATTCCCATTATATCTTACTAAATTGATTTTCGTGATATGAAATATCTTTAGTTCTAAAGCAGTTATAATGTCTGTTACCTTTCCATGTGTATAACTTCGCCATCAGCTTAAGATTTGTAGATTTGTATTTGAAAATGATTAAGAATATAAATATATTTTAAAATAATGAAAGTTTATTTTCATTGAAATTAATCAACCTTATTTTAAAAAAATTGTTCCCAAATAAATCGAGTTACTAAACAGGCATACAAATGATTCATAAATTGAATTGAACTAATTGCTCATTTATAATATGAACTAAAATTTATCATTATTATTGCCTATCAATCATAATGAAAGAAAAAAAAGAAAGATAATACAAATATCTTTGTAGTGTTTGGAGTGTAAACATTTGAATAATCCCCAAAGTCACATTATTAATTTTAGTTTATTATCATCAACAAAACATAAATTCAAGTCCCATGATTGATTTTTATTGTAGATAATGGGAAATTAAATACATTGAAGTAGATGACAGTAGAATGACTCCTGGCATGTCCATATTCAAAACAATAAATAAAATAACTTCTAAATAAAACTTTTGGTTTTCATAGAGCAGCTTAGGTTCTTTGAATTATAAAATATTTTCATTTTCCCTTTCATCTTGGGCAAAATTATAACAAACAGCACCCTCATCATTCGTCTTTAAAAGAAGAGGCACCTGATGTTGTTCGTCAAAAGAAGAAGTACCCAAAGAAGCCAAAAGCAGAGACTTTGATAACTCCTCAGCAGCCCACTACTGAGACATTACCTGTGATCAATAAGAGTGATATTAAACAATATGACTTCCACAGCTCAGATGAGGATGAATTCCCACAGGTACTTAATTTACACTTTATTTTAAAAGATCTAGTCACTGATGTCAACATTATTGTAATTTCTAGTTGGCACAAGTAGAAAACCTCTGGCTCAGCCAAAAATTGTTATTCAAATTCTTGGATAAAAGAAGCATTTATAGAACTTATAGAAGGTATTTCCTTTGTTTTTGGTATAACTTTCAGCCATAAGGTACAATTGTAAAAATAATTCGCTAAAAGTTTTAATGGTTTTATTCAAAAAGTGTACTTTAAAAATTAATATATTATAGAAGATGTGTCTACTAAATTAGTTTAAAATTCCTTTTCCTTGCATTAATTTCACTGCTCACGTTTTTGGGCTCCATTTATGCTTCATTTCACCTTTTTCCACCTTCAAATAGTCTGACTTTTTTTTTTAATATATGCACATTAACAATGGTGAAGCATAAATTATTTACAGTTTTTGAGTAGTTAATTTTTATTCATATCAGCTGATGAAATAATATTTTAAAAGATTTTAATGCTTGAGAATTTTGTTATATTTAACTCACCATATTTACCTTTTCCAGTTGATGTAAGACAGAAGAGGCAGCAATTATTGGGATATCTTGTTAAGTCACCTGTTAGACTTAGAAATGAAAAGGAAAGAGATTCTTAACAGAATGAAGGAAAGTCTTTACTCAACAATCCAGAACTAGAGAATACTAAATTTAACACACGGATCACTATTTCTCTGCTTCCTCCTTCCCTGCTAATAAACTGGCAAGGAAGATTATTTTACTACAGGTTTTTGTCTAGTAGGGCCCCATGTGGTGAATACACTGAATATCCATGTGCTAGGGCCATGACTACTTAATTACCTGATAAATGAAGAATTTTAGAATTTTGGTAGAAAACTTTATAGGAATTCTGTAGAAAATGGTGAGAGATTTGGAGTAATTAAGTCATGCTGTAATGTTTTTGAAAGGTTGAGATTAATGACTAGGCATCTTCCCAATACAATACAGAATGAATTTTTGCCCAAAATTAATTTGCCTACCAGATTTTGACACAGATAATAATCTTGATATTTTAAAGATTCTTTGAGGTTAAAAAAATTCTAAAGAACATAAAAATTTTTAAATGATTCTTCATATATTACAGAATAAAATTTTGTTTTATAACTGTTACTCATAGAGGTTTTAAAAGTAGTTACTGTATCATATTTAAAATAATTTGATTTATGGAATACTGATTTAAATGTAACTTTTCAAGAACCAGAAAATAAACTTAGGTAGTATTGACCTTTTCTGTCATTCTGAGTTCATGTGATAATAGATCTAAAACTGAAATGGACCTCAGAGACCATCTAGTCCAACTCCTTCATTTTATGTATGAGGAAATGGAGGCTCACCAATATTCTTGAGCAATCAACTAAAAAAGAAAGTTCAGTCTAGAGCCATTTATTTTAATAATTTTAATTTTATGTCAGAGAAATACAATGAAAATTTTATTAAGATGCTAGAAGGGCCAATATATGAAGACAAATAAAAATTAACCTTCATTAGTTTGGGAAGGCTGGAGAAGTGGTTGTAGCTATACCTTTTAAAATGATAAAAAGGTATGGATATTTTGCTTAATGACATTTGTTCACCTAATTTCACTGCCTCAGCCCCCTCCTTCCCCACATTTCACCCATTTAACCTATTCTTTTTTGCTTTTATTCTGTTTCCCCATCTTCTATTTCTTCATTGTTAGTAGAGGTAAAACTTATAGTTAGAAAACCTCAGAACATTAGCGTGCATGTTTCAAGAACAGACAAGTAGGAGAAAAACTATGAAACTTCATTCTTTTATAAAGTGCCCAAGGTATAGAGAGATCCTGACCAAAAGCACTAATTGAAATTTATGGAATGAGGAGCATTAAGTTTAAATCCCTGGGTCTATGGCGGGAAAAAAAGAAAGAAGGCATTTGTAGAGTCAGTTGGACTCAGAAATGTCCTTGTGGTTTATCCATATACCACTTGTTTGAGACTTAAGTTTCATAAGTAAGCATACCCTTGGTACACCTTTAATAGGAAGTTTCCTACAAGTATATGTTCTCTGGCATTTATCTCATCATTGGTCAGTTCACCCTAAATCCTTGTTTATATAAAGTCCTAGATTCTTTGCCCGGGAAAGACAAGGACAAATGATTCTTCCACAATCATGCTCCAGCGAAGTACAAAGCTTCTTAGTATCTTCCCATGTCAAGAGCTGCCACGTAGAGTAAGTCACACACACACATACACACACACACTTAGAAGGAAAGGTACCCTTCCTAATAATCCATAGTGATTCAGCTCATTTACATGAGAAACCCTTTGTTTTCCAGCTCTTCAAATCATAGAATCTCAGAATTGGAAGGTACCTTAGAAGTCATCTAGTCTAACCTGTACCTGACCAAGAATTCCTTTTAGAAAATAACTGAGAAGTGGAACTTAAGAACTTATGGCTAAGACAGCTACCAGCCTAGCTCCCACATATCTATCCCGTCAAAAACCTAAAAATTCCACCTGACCAAATAAAGATCAAGAAATAAAATCAGCAACTATAGTAACAGACTTCTTTCTCCCTAGAACTTCACAAAATGTCACCAAGAACTCCACAGGAGATAGGAAAAGGAGCTGCTTGAAAAGCCAACACCAGAGCAGGCAAACAAGATGGTAGCCTCCCTCAGCAGCAGAGAATGGTCAGAGAATCCTGTACCCTACTTTATTTCTGGAGGCAGTTAGAGGAGAGGGCTTTCATCCTCTTTAACAGGGACCTTGGAAGGGGCTAGGAATGGCATTGAGTAGTCTCAAGGTCCCTAGCCACTGTCCAGAGGTACTGTGGAAAACTCTAAAAATATAGCATTCTAGAACCTCAGAGAAATGGTCAGTATAGTAATCCAGATTAAATGAAGCAGGGCCTACCACTTCCACCCAAAAATACAGTATGGGGCAAAGCCAGGCCCTGACCCAAAGCACCAATTTGGGAACTAAGGCTAAAGAGATGAATAACACAAGAAGTTATAAACTACTATCAAGAATTATAGTAAATCTAAGAAATTCCAAAATCCAAAGCAATCCTGAGAAAAAAATTATATGCCTAAAAATATACATAAGCAAAAAAGAAAAGGTGACATTAATGAATTAGTTATACATTTTTTAAAAAATGAGAAACCCAAGAAATAAACACAAAATTTAAGCATAAAAGGAGAAATCTTGAAAATTAGAGGAGAAATAAATTGAAACCAAAAGGCAGTACAACTAAGTAGTTCTTTAAAAAGACTAAAAAAATTGATAAACCTTTAGCTAATCTAATTAAAAAGAAGAGGGTAGAAAAATAGATCAACAAAATAAAATCAAACAAAGTGAAATCACAACAGAAGCATGAGAATAAAAAGACTTAGGCAGAATCTATTTTGCACAGTTATATGACAACAAAACTGAGAATACAAAAGAAATGGAGGATTATATACACAAATATAAATCCCCCAAACTAAGAATACCAAAGAGAGATCTTAAATAATACAATTTCAGAAAGGGAAATAGAGCCCTCTCTGAAGGAGCTACCAAAATGGAAGGGGAAGAGGAGGAGGGATGAATTTACAGGAGAATTATGTCACATTTTTAAAGAACAGTTGCTACTCAAAATATAGTCCTACTACCTACAATTTTAAATAAACTCTTTTGAAACAAACTACAGTGATTTAGTCAAGAAATCATTCATTTTGACCAAGTTAGATTTATAGAAAGGGATGTAAGTGGTTCAACATTATTATACAAAAAAGAAAAAGAGCTAATTTATTCTAAATATCTTACAGGTTAAAAGTAGAGAGGTCCTTTCTTATAACATGAGAAGTATCTATCTCAAAAAAGCAATCATATGCAATGGTTATATGATAGAACCTTTTCCAATTAATACAGGAACAAAGCAATGGTGCCTTCACTCCGATGTTATTTGATGATGTTCTAAAAATGCTGACAATGGCAGTGTGAGAGAAGAGGAAGAAATTAAAAGCATAAAGATTGGCAAATAGTAGACAAAATTATTCTTTCTTTCATTGATCACATCAAGGTGTAAGATATGTTTTGAAATCCTAGGGAACAAGCAAAGAAACTGAGGTAATTAATAGTTTTAGCAAAAGTTGTAATCTACTTGTTTTATATCTTGCAACCCACAAAACCTGCATTTTTATGTAACAACAGTCTAAGAAGCAATAATAGAAAAATTCCCATTCAAAATAACTATGCAATGCATAAAATATTTGGTAGTCATTCTACTAAAACATATTCCATACTTGTGTATTCAGTTACAAAAGGATCCTTAAAAAAATACTTAAAAAGCTAAAGGAATATCCAATATAATAAAAATGACTACTGCCAAAATTGATTTACAGAATTAATGCTATACCAATCAAAGTTCTGAAGGGATACATCACTGGGGTAGATAAAATAATAATGTTTCATCTAAAATAACAAAGGATCTAGACCATCAACAGAATCAATAAGTAGGAAGGAAGAGGGAATAGCACTTTGAGACTTCAAACTATAGAACAAAGTAGCAGTAGGGTTGGTTTAAAAAGTAAAGTAAATTAATGAAAAAGCTTTAAAAAGTGAGAATCAGAAATAATGGTACTTAACTCAGTGTTCCATAAACCTCCAAAACATCAATTAATTAGGAAGGAACTACTTATTTGAGAAGAACTACTAGGAAAACTAGAAAGCAGTTTGAAAGAAATTAGGCTTAGATAAATAACTTATATTATATTCCATAATAAGTTCAAAATGAATATACAGCCTAAATATTAAAAATTATATCATTAAAATCACTAGACGAGAAACAGACCTTTCACATCTATGGGTAGGAGATAAATTTTTTTTTAACCTAACAAGTAATAGAGACAATTATGAAAAGATACAATTGAACATTTTGATTCTGTGAAATTGAAAGACTTTCTGCACAAACAGAATTAATGCATATAGCTAGGATAAGAAGGGGAGCTGTTCACTGGGGGGAA